CCTTTTACTTTCCTCTTGTCCCACTATCATATTAGACCTTCATTTGGCTTTCAGTAATTCCTCTTGGTTACATTGCCCTCGATCAAGCTCCACCAGGCATCCTGTACCCTCTTTGCCATCGATTTTAGATCATTTGTTGTTCCCTTGTCCCTGGGTTGGTTGACACCCCCCTTCCTTTCCCGCACCTCCATCTCTCCTGTGTCCCCCTGGAACCGTCGGTCCTGTTGTTTTCTCCTCCGGATTGTTTATCCTGCCTATCTTATCTAGATAGACATGTGGAGACAAGCACAAAAACAAGACAGAGCAAAACAATACAACAAAACAATGACCCCCAAAAAGTCTATAAATAGTTCCAGGTCTGTTTGTTGACCTTTAGGAGTGTTTTCCGGTCGAGTCTAATGGGGTGCCATGCCCTGGCCCTGGAATTTTTTTTGGTATTCCTAGAAACTTAATTGCTTTGCTCCCTTTTCTGCTCTGTTACAGCCCCTTAGCATTTCACCCCAGTGTGGTGGGTTCAGAACCAGCACAATTCCTGCACTATGCCTCCAATGTTGTCCCACATACACTATAGGTCAGTGAGGGACATCACGTCTCTTGGTGGGGCTGGCTCTGTGGCCCTCCCTGTGCACTGGCTGCTCTGAGCAGGAATATCATCCTCAGGGCTTGGTGGGCCAGGATGTGTTCCACTCTCTCTTCTTCCCTCTTCCTTTGCTCCTGTGTGCTCTGATCAGACGCGCTCCTCTCCCTGAGCTGTAGCTTTAGTGTATTCTCTGTCTTACAGGGTCACTATAAGTTAGAATCAACCAGATGGCAGCAGGTTCTTCTTTTTGGTGTGGGAGGCTGTGCCATATATACAGAGACTACAAGGTCGAGACTACAGAGCCAGAACACAGCTTGAGAAGAGTTGGGGGAGGGATTGAAAAGGCACATGCATAGAGAGTGTGAGGGCAATTTTGAGTGTCAGAAATGTAAAACTCATAGTTATTTTCATAAATATTTTGAAGATCCAAAAATTTTTATTCAAATTATGCACTGAACATGTCAAAAAACATTTTAATATATAGAAGTCAATGGATAATTCATGTTCAATATTTCAGAGGTGAGGTTGCATCTAAGCTTTTTCATAAGAGAAATTCTAACTTTTCTTTTAAGAGTTTCTGTGCACAGGTGGTGAAGTTGTGCTGTCTTATAACAAGACTGGAACATTTTAATTTTAATAAAGGAGTTTGAATTCTGACAGACCCAAATGTTCTGACAGGGCACTCTATTTATTGTACCAAATTCACTACCAGCCGTTGATTAGGACTCTTAGTGACCCTATAGAACAGAGTGGAACTTCTCCTATGGGTCTGAGGCTGTAAATCTTTATAGGAGCAGAAAGTCTCATCTGTCTCTTGTAGTGAGGCGGGGAGCTCAAATAGCTGACCTTGGGGTTAGCAGCCAAAAACATAACCCATTATGCCATCAGGACTCTTTATTTATTGTACAGTAACTCTTACTTTTGGCCCCTTTTTAAGATAACAGATTGGAACTGTTTGCTATTCAGTCCCTAATAAAGGTGAAGTGATACTTGGGGAAAATCCAAGTTCATGGAATTTGCACTGTTCAAATATATCTTTGGATCAAAGGACACGATATGTGTGGGAAACTGAGAACAGGGAAGAGAGTATGTGTGAGCAAGTTCTTTATTCTCATATTTAAGAAGCCTGGGAGGCCAGGTTTCAGGGTGGAGGGAAGCCTTCACACTTGTAAGTTAGGGATGAGTTCCAGTCACATTCTCATAATTAACATTAATCCCCACAATGCCCACCCCCATGTTAATGCCAATTTTAAGGTGCTGCTTGCAAGCACATGGTTGCTTCTCTATACGCTTGAAGGTTACACTATTGTCTATCCTACCCTAAGTAGGGCCCACTCCTTTCTGATAAGAGTCGTAGTTTGTTTCCCTGGAGAAGAGCTCAGGGACCTTCCCTAAGGTTAGGCCAATTCAGAGATGACCAAGGTTAGGCCACCATCTTAACTCTAGAACCCACTCATCTTGTTACATATATACCTTCCTGTCACATGTATGCCTCTAGTACCTCCCCTTCCTATTGCATGTATACCTCTAGCTCCTCCCCCTCCTGTTCCATGTATGCCTCTACTACAACCCCTTCTTGTTATATTATGTGTGCAAGATAGCTTGTGAGGGACTACTTTCCTCCCTCACTCTGGTTTGGGCACCATGGAAGAGGTGAGTGAGAGGTTGGAGATGGAGGACGGGGCTATGCACCAGCCAGAGGAAGGCCGGGCTGGCACAGAGGCTCCTCCTGTTGGTCCTGGGTCTTTCAGCACCAAGATGAGAGGATGGAGACAGACTCAGAACAGAGATAGAATTAGCCAGGAATGTGAAGTTGAGAAAGAGTTTATGGAGGCAGGGAAAGAACTCCCGGGAGGGAAGGGAGAGCAGAGAAGGACAGGGGCATCTTGAGCCCCCCAGGTGGGTTCCGAGACCCAACAAGTTAGGTCAGGTAAATCGTGCCTGACAGTGAGGCAGTGGGACATATACAGGGCTTGAGCCCAGGACGTATGTGCTGATAAGGGGAAGGAGGGCCTGGTGCTGCAGTTGTGGGTCTGAGTCAGGATGTGGTCTGTGAGTCAATCATCCTGGAACACTGAGGGAAGGGGCTGTACAGACCCGGCCCAGAGAGATAAGCCCCTTGGGACGCTGGAGGCAGGGACTGCACAGCCCAGCTCAGGCCTTGAGAGGCAAGGGCGGGGGAGGCGGGGGAGGGGCCGCACAGTCCAGCAAGTCATCTTTCCGGAGAGCTAGGGGAGGCGGCTGCATGGTCTGGACCCTGCCCAAACAGTGAGCCCTTGCATGCCTGGTCTGTTGTTCCTTTAATTTACCCTTGAATTACACAACTACTCCTTGGACCCATTCAGTTATACCACACATGTGAAGTATAACTTGACCTAAATATTTATTACAACACACACTACTTTAAATTAAGCCACCATGCACTTCTTCTATCTCTGGCTAGCTGTACACTACATTAAAATACCCTGATTTTTTATGGGTAAGTAGAGGGAAGAGTTGTAATGGCATCTGCTCTATTTCTCAAAAACTAGAGCTAATAAGAAAAAACAGGTGCCATTTTTGGAAGCAACAGGTCAAATATTCCCAGAAACAAATCTAACATTCGAGACACCAAAATGTGCATTAGCCATTATTACAGGTGACTTTTTATTATTAAAATGTGCATATATATTATATGAATGATAGTTATTTATAATATTTGGATAATTTAAAAACTTAGAAATAACTTACTTGGGAATTTATTTTCTGACTGAAGCAAGGGTTGGAAAAATGTACACAAGCAACAAGGGCATACATTCAAGAATTCCGCGAGTTCTCGAAAAACATATCCGTTACGCTGGGAAGATGCTTGACCTACACAAGTGAGTATAAGAGTGCGGTAGATAACCTGGCAACGAGAGTCGAACGTGCCCAACGGGAGGTTGACTACCTAGAGTACCTCCGAGAATCCGACATGTGTGTCGAATCGGAAGACAAGATCCTGGCAGAAACGCTGATCCAAGAAGCTGAAGAAGAGAAGAAGATCCGGAGCTTGCTGAATGCAAGTAAGATAACTGTCTTTTATTACCTCTTCTAGGGACTTTCACACTCAAAGAGAGGCAAACTCGGGATAGTTAGTGGTGGTGGTGGGGGGGGGGTGAGTCTATGTAAGAGAGTTAGCACTGGACATGCACTCTTGCGTGCATATGCTGAGAGAGGAATCCTATCTGGAAACAGGTGTCGAAAGGGAAATCTATTCTCAGAAAACCATTGTTCCTCCAAAGGCCTTACAGAAAGTCAGCTGCCAGAGGTCAGCCCAGGACGGCCACTTTCTGACAGACCTTTGGTGTAGGTATGTGGTCCCTTGTCACTCCAGGGACAGCGAGTGACTGGCTGGTAGATTGTGTCCACTCTACATCTAGCACCTTGTGAATCGGGAGTTGCTGCAAATATGCCAAGCAACAGTCTGAAATTGGAAATGGCAACAGCCCCCGCTTCCCCCCGAGGGCTAGGGACTGCAGTGGATGATTGTTGTGCGTGCTTTCTGGGATGGTGTTATCCAGGCATTTGTCTTCAAATTTGTAGTCCATTAGGATTCCTTCCAGACCATTATTATGAGCTCAAATTATACAACGTATCAAGCCTCAAAAGCAGAAATGAGAAGGAAAATGTCCTGAGCATGAGCCCATTTCATTGAGACTCTGAGGAAGCTTCTTCCCTTACCTTCGCGTCTCCATGCTGGGCTGGTTTCATTTCAAGTAGAAAGCCTTGTGCAATAAGCTCCGTCAAAGATATACGAAAAAGGGAGAGTCGGGTCCTGTGATCTTGGAGGTGCTCCATGGACCCTTGAGCAGCAGGAGGTGACACTAGATCTGGGTGTGAAATGAGGAATTAGAGTGGAGAAGAAGGAGCCAAGGGTACTTCAAGTGAAGGCACAGCATAGCAAATGCATGAGAATGGTGTGTCGCGCCTCAGCGTGTTTGGAGATCTGCAGAAAATGGCTTAAAGAAAGCTGTTTGGGGCAGGGAAGGTTGCGGGAATCAGCAAAACCCTGATCATGACGGACCTTGCACCCCAATACCGAAGGGCCTTGAGTGCTACGCTGAGAGAGTTGAACTTTACTAGAGAAGCTGTAGAGAACCATGAAAAGATGTTAAGCTGGAGCATGACATCATGGGATTAAGAAAGCAATTCTCAAACTCACTGCCATTGATTCAGTGCTGACTCATACTGACCCTCTGTGCATTTCGAAGACAGTAACTGTTCAGCGAAGGAGAAAGCCCCAGTCTTCTCCCACACTAGGGGAAAACTATTGCGGTAATTTGGGCAACAAGTGATGCTGGCAGCCTTTAGTGTCAGTACAATGAAGAAACACAGATGGATTTACAGCCATTGAGAGCTGGGATCCATATGGCTTGATTACTGACAAATGTCAAAGATGCCTGAGAGGACTGCGTCCAGAACGCTCCTCCGGTTTTTGGCTTCAGCGGTTGTGTGGTTGATGTGCGTACTATGCTGACCTAGAAGACCCAGGAAGAGGAGCTTGTTTTGTTTGTTCAGAGCCCTATTCCTCTGATATGCTCTTGTTTATTTGTTTACCACTTATTGTCTGCTTCCCCTTCTAGCAGACTGGCTCTAGGAGAACGTTAACTCTGCTTGTCTTGTTCAATGCTATGTTTGTGTTCAGTAAATAATTGTCAATGAATAATTAAGTGAACAAATGGATGGATGGATTGTCAGCACGGACAATTAGTCTTTGGCAAGGAAAAAAAAAATCTTCCCCTCTGAGTCAGAAAAGAGAGAGGAGAAGATACCTTATCTATTATACAAAGCAGTTAGTCAGGGTAGTCGCAGTGATTCTTGTCAGCCACAGCAGTGGCTCCGTCTAGAGATGACCCGTTCTCGGCCAGGTAAGAGTGCAGCGAGGGAAAGAAAACAAGAGAACTGGGCTGGAGGGAAGGCTTGAGTACTAATGCGGCCTGAGCGACAACACTCCAGGGATCAGGCAGGACCATAAACCTCAACGGTGATGTTGGCTGGGATCCCTACCTACCTCCGGCCAATTGTGTCTTCTGAACACAGCCAGTCCTCAGGCCTGTTCTTTTCTCCCTGTTTCCTAATACCCTTTTCTCATCATCTTGACCCCTTCAGTCCTTAGTAGGAACAACCTCAAAGTTGCTTCTTCCTAGTCCAGCTAGAACCCAGGTCAGACCTGGCTTTCTGCTCCGTTCTTCAGACCCTGGAAGTCTAAGCCATTCCCTTTCCCAGCTCCACGATATAGAGCCCTGGTGGTGAAATGGGCTACATGCTGGGCCTTTCTACTCTCGCAAAGATGTACAGTTTGGGAAATCCACAGGGGCGATTCCACTCTGTCCTAGAGCGTCTCTGAGTTGGAATCCACTTGATGGCAGTAAGTTTGATTTCAATGGTAAATGAAAATTCTTCTTTAACCCGCTCACAAAATATTGCTTCCGTGCCTATTGCCTTTGGAGTTCTCATTTGATGATTTGCCTACTTAAAGTCAACGGACATGCAGAGTTTGTTGTTATTTGGTTGAGTCTGCTCTGACTCATAGTGTCCCCGTGTACAACAAAAGAAGCACCACCCTGTTCTGCACCATCCTCACAGTTGTTCTTATGCTTGAGTCCGGGGCTGCAGCCATGATGTCAGTCCATCTTCCTGAGGGCTTTCTCCTTGTTTGCTGCCCCTCTACTTTACCAAGCGTGATGCTCTTCTCCAGGGAGTGCTCTCTCCTGATAACATGCCCAAAGTCTCTGAGACCAGTCTCATCATCCTTGCTTCTAAGAAACATTCTGGCTGTACTTCTTCCAAGGCAGGTCTGTTTGATCTTTTGGCAGTCCGTGATACTTTCAATATTCTTCACCATCACCATAATTCAAATGCATCGATTCTTCTTCGGTCTTCCTTATTCAAGGCTCAACTTTCACATGCATGTGAAGTGATTAAAAATACCATGGCTTGGGTCAGACACATCTTAGCCATCAAAGTAGCATCTTTGCTTTTCAACCCTGAATAGAGAGGCCTTGTGCAGGAGATTTACCCAACGCAACGTGTCATTTTTATCTCTTGACTGCAGCTTCCATGAGCATTGATTGTGGGTCCAAGCAAGACAAAATTTTGGACAACTTCAATCTTTTCATACTTTCAGCATTCAAGATTGTGTCATCTACATGTTAAAGGTTGTTAAAATTACCCTCCAACCTGATATCACATTCTTCTTTATGTCATCCAGCTTCTCTATTATTTGCTCAGCATTGAGCAAATAATTGAACAATTATGGCAAGAGGATACAGCCTTGACACATACATACCTTCCTGATTTTAAACCATGCAATATTCTTTTGTTCTGTTTGCAAAACTGTCTCAAGATCCATGCACATTTTACACATGAGCATAATGAAGTATTCTGGAATTCCCATTCTTGTAACAGCTATCCTTAGATTGTTATGGTCCACAAAATCAGTTGTCTTTGTATAGTCAATAAAGTACATGTAAACATCTTTCTGGTATTCTTGCTTTGAGCCAAGATCTATCTGACATCAGCAATGATAGCCCTTGTTCCATGTCCTCTTTGAATTTGGCCGGAACCTCTGGCAGGTCCTATCAGTGCACTGCTGTAACCTTTGTTAAATGATCTTTAACAAAATTTTACTTGCCTATGATATCAGTGATATTAAACTATAATTTGCACATTCTGTTGGGTTGACTTTCTTTGGAATGGGTACCAGTATGGATCTATTCCAACCAATTGGCCAGATAGCTGTCTTCCAAATTTCTTGGCATAGAAAATTGAGGGCTTCCAGTGTTTCACTAGCTTCTTGAAATATTTCAATTCATATTCTATCAATTTTTGGAGCCTTGTTTTTGGCTAATGCCTTCGGTGCAGCCTGGACTTGGTTCTTGATAATATACTACCTCTTGAATGTCAACTAGTCTTTTCGAGACAAAGACTGTATTATTTCCATTTTCTTTTGACATTTCCTGCATCATTCAGTATTTTGCCCATAGAATATTTCATTGTTGCAACTCAAGGCTTGAATTTGTCCCTCAGTTCTTTCAGTTTAAGATATCCTGAGCATGGTCTTCCTTTTTGGTTTGCTAACACTAGGCCTCTGCACATTTTGTTGTAATACTTTATTTTCTTGAGCTGCCCTTTGAAACTTACTCCTCAGCTCTTTTACTTCATCATTTCTGCCATTTGCCATAGCTGCTCTACAATTAAAAGCAAGTTTCAGTTTTTTGACATCCAGCTTGACCTTTCTTTCTTTCCTGTTTTTTTAATAACCTTTTGCTTTCTTCACGTATGATATTCTTTTTTCAAAAATCACTTAATTGGGGGCTTGTATAACTCTTATCACGATCCATACATACATCCACTGTGTCAAGCACATTTGTACATTTGTTGCCATCATCATTCTCAAAACATTTACTCTCTACTTGATTGCTTGGTATCAGCTCCTCGTTTTCCCCCCTCCTTCTCCCACACACCCTCCCTCATGAACACTTGATAATTTATAAATTATTATTATTTTGTCATGTCTTACACTGTCCGACATCTCCCTTCACCCACTTTTCTGTTGTCTGTCCCCCTGAGAGGCCATTATATGTAAATCCTTATGGTCAATTTCTCCTTTTTACCCCACTTTCCCTTTACCCTCCTGGTATTGCTACTCTCATTCTTGGCCCTGAGGAGTTTATCTGTCCTGGATTCCCTGTGTTTCCAGCTCTTATCTATACCCATGTACATACTCTGGTCTAGCTGGATTTGTAAGGTAGAATTGGGATCATGATAGTGGTATGGGGGTGGGGGTGGAGGGAGGAAGCATTTAGGGACTAGAGGAAAGTTGTAGGTTTCATCTTTGCTATACTGCACCCTGGCTGCCTTGTCTACTCCCCGTAACCCTTCTGTAAGGGAATGTCCAGTTGGGCTTTGGATCTCTACTCTGCACTCCCCATCATTCACAATGATATGATTTTTGGTTCTTTGATGCCTGATGCCTGATCCCATCAATGCCTTGTGATCATACAGGCTGGTTTGCTTCTTC